ATATATATATATATATAATAATATATATATATATATATATATATATATATATATATATTTGATTAAAATGTATCGATAGGCCAGTAAATTATATTTGCACTATGTACTTAATTTAAATAGATTTTAATAAACGCGATTTTTATGAAAATTGTCTACGTCCACAAGAATATTGTTTCTTAAAAAACATGTTTATACAGTTTTTAACATTAGTTTTTACCAAAATAATCATAAAATGAATAAAACTATATATTTGTGTGTATGAAGATGAGAGCTACCTCTGGTGAAATATCTGGTGAAATACCATCAAATTTTGTTATTCAAAATATATTTACATATATCATTTTATTTTGGTCATAAACTTTATGTAATTAGATTTTAATTTTATCACTTCATCTTCTGATAAAAAATCTGATTACATTATTAATAAAATATTTATTTTTTATTTATACAATATGTGTATGTACCTGTGTGTAAAATTAACTCCAATTACTATTTTACACATTTGCAGTATTATTTTCTTCGTCTCAAATACTATGTCTAAATATTGTGCGCATACATTTTATTTTCGCACGATTGATTGAACAACCTGCTTTCGAAGTTATGATCGGTCGATACTCGATTCAACGAACGTACTGATTGAAAGTGCGTTTTAAAATTCGGACAAGAAACTCTCTATTGGACAACCAATCGCCGATCTCCGAAGAAAACATGATACTGCGAAGTTCAGTGCTTACGGAGCACTCGCGTGAGCAGGACTTGATCTCATCCACGCGCGCATACATAAATACCTATCGCGACCATGAGTGAACCTCAGTCGAAGAAAACGAAGACCATGAGCTCGTTGAACCAACTGAAGGAGTTCACCACGGTCGTCGCCGACACCGGCGACTTTCAAGGTAGAATTCGTCAAAATTTGAATCCGGTCAAAGGTGATAGTAGATACATGACGATAGTTACATTGATAGGTGGGGAAGTTTGGGGGGTGTGGAGAGGGGAATTGGAGGGAGATTTCTTGCAATGCTTGCAATTTTTTTCCGAGCGTGTCACGTGATCTCTTCGAACCATGAATGAGCATGAGGTTCATTTTTTTCATTCGTTTTTATTTTGAGGATGTATGAGAGATTTTTATATATTTCTTTTTATTTATATATTTCTTTATTTTAACATTGTTAATGTCATGATACGAAGCGAAGATTAAAGATAATTATGCACAATTCATAATTTTATTTCCACTTCGCGATTTGTAATGAAATAGTGAGAATTGATCATGGATCATTTAAAGTTCGAATGATTTTTCTCGAGAATTATTTATTATCTTAGCGTGTAATTAAATATTAAAATGAATACGATTTTAGAATATTGTATATAGCAGATTAATATTGTTTATATATATATTTTTACATGCGATTATTTTTATTTTAATTTGATTATTTGATTATTATCTCTTATTATTATTCATTGAACAACTTGTCCAAATGACCTTGTCCGATCAAGAACAGAAATGATAAACATAATGATATTCTACTCTCAAAGGTCACTTAGGTTCAATAAATAAACGATATTTCACGATATTTCGTATATATAACTGATATCCATTTTATCAGTGTAAAAAGAATCTATCATCGTTCGATTTTTTCGACTATGATCTCTCTCTCTCTCTCTCTCTCTCTCTCTCTCTCTCTCTCAATTTATAAAATCATGATAAAAATTAAAAATTTCAGATAAATAAATTAAATTCGCACATTTAAATAAATCAGGAATGCATAACAACAACAATAATAATAAACGCGATTATTGATTATCATTACAACAAAACATAATCAGACAAGAAAAACTTTCTTTTCCCATTAGATCATATATTATTTTTTTTTATTATTATAAACCTACATCACTATATTGCGCGCACATTATTTTATATATTCTTATTACAGCCATGGAGCAGTTTAAGCCCACAGACGCAACAACAAATCCTTCGTTGATTCTTGCTGCTGCCAATGACAAAAAATACGCTCATTTAATTGAGAAAGCTGTTGAATATGGCATAAAATCCGGATCGTAAGTACATGTACCTATTATGTATGTGATTAACTTATTAGTCTTTTCATCTATTACCCAATAAACGAAAATGGATTAAAATGGATTGTAATTTTCAGAAGTACACATTTGTCAACGTTGAAATGAATCCATTTCGATGCTTTTGTATCCGTTTATACGTATAATATTATTTTCACACACACATATAAAAAACTTTTCTTATATTCAATTGGATTAAATTAGATTGAATTTGGATTACATTGGATTGAAAAACTGCATTTCCTAGCCAAAATTTTGAATTGAGCAGTATTCATGATCTACTTTTTAAAACTGAACTTATTTCTGAATTGAAAGGCATAAAAATGTATTTCATTCAATTCTTATAAATAAATACAAAAGTAATGATTGAAATGAATTCATTTCAACGTTCACGAATGTACTTTTAAAAATTTTTATCTTTTTTTTAATCCAATTTTCGTTTACTAGTCTTTTTATGATATTATGAAAGAAAAATATTTAAAGATGTACTTAATATTATATATAATAATTACATATGATATTCAAATATCATTTAACATAGAATTTCTTTCTTTCAGTACTTTAGATGAGCAAGTTGAAGCAGCTCTTGATATTACATGTGTACTATTCGGCAAAGAGATCTTAAATATAATTCCTGGAAGAGTTTCTACAGAAGTGGATGCCAGATTATCCTTCAATAAGGAAGCCAGCATCGAAAAAGCGAAAAAATTGATCGTTCTGTATGAAGAGCTTGGTGTAAGCAAGGAACGCGTTTTGATCAAACTTGCATCGACTTGGGAAGGCATCCAAGCGGCAAAGTAAATAAAAAAATTAGACTTCAAAAATTAAAATATAATATACAATAAAATATGCTCGGTTAACATATCTTGTTAATAATCAATAATCTCTTTAGAGAATTAGAGGAAAAATATGGAATCCATTGCAATCTGACACTATTGTTCTCCTTTGCACAAGCTGTTGCCTGTGCACAGGCTGGTGTTACTCTCATTTCTCCATTTGTTGGTAGAATTCTCGATTGGTAAGTGTCTCTATCTCATTTATCTTGAGATTATGATTAAGAGTAAAAATAAAAGATCTTGTTTAGGTATGTGGCAAATACAGATAAAAAATCTTACGAAGCAAAGGAGGATCCAGGTGTTGTTTCTGTAAAGAGAATTTATAATTATTATAAGAAATTTGGTTATGAAACGGTTGTGATGGGTGCCTCGTTCAGAAACATCGGCAAGTATTCTTCATTTATATGTTTTATAAAATTTTATATTAAAAAATTATTGTTTAATTATAAACGCAAAATTTCTAAATAACAATATTCAATTTTATTATTCTTTCAATTTAAATTTTCTGATAATTAGGTGAAATTAAGGAACTTGCTGGCTGTGACTTGCTTACTATAAGTCCCAAGTTATTAGAAGAATTGGAAAAGAGTAACGAGCCTGTACATAAAGTTTTGAGCGTAGAATCCGCGAAAAAGCGTGATCTTATACATATCAACTTAGATGAAGCTGAATTTAGATGGATGTTGAACGAAGATCAAATGGCGACTGATAAATTATCCGAAGGCATTCGCAAATTCGCTGCTGATATGCGCAAGCTTGAAAAGCTACTAATGGAAAAGATTCAGAGTTTAAAACAAAAAGATTAGAATAACAGCACTACTTGATAATGCATTTAGATGTGTGCAATGACATAATGATTTACAAGGACATAATATTGAATGTACAAGTACATTCCTGTTGTTCATACATTTGTGAAAATAATTTTTAATAATTAACTTGTATTATGTATAGAAAAAAAGAAATAAAGGAATGAAGGTATATTTTTAGAGATGCAAGATTTATATTGTAGAATGTAAATATATACATATCTGTAAAATAAATGCAAAAAAAGAAACTTTAAAGTATATGTCAATTATAATTTACAATTCAAATTTTTATCATTTTACAAATCACAAGAAAAATAAAATCGTAGATATGGATTGTGTGACTTAAGATATAAATAATATATATTATATATATATTATTTTGGGCTTATTATAATATTAATTTTGTAATTTATTCTGATATTTTATAGATTATATATTTAAAAATTAAGGAAAATTTAAATTACAATATTTACAATATAGTAATAACGTGAAACAAATTTATTTTCATAATTTTATTATTCATATAAGGAATCAAATTCGAATGACAAAATTTAAATGAAAATCAAGTATTATAATCAGAAACTAGTTACCCACTGGAAAATTTTGCAAACATGGTTACGTAGTTCAATGGATGTGCTTTTACGGACATAGAGGCGCACCGCTAAAGAGTCGTGGCTTTCCATAATTCTTAAACTCTTTGCCATAGCAATTGCGTGATATTCAAATTTTGTGTATTAATTTGAGACCTCACTATAATATTACACAATTGCCGCGAGATATCAAAAAAATCCAGGATGGTTGAGGAATCGGAACAGGTAAGTTTTGACCCGGCATAAATCGTTATCGCAAAACATTCGTATAACCTTAAATAAATATTATTCCGAAACAGTTGCCGCCTATAGACGTAAAAGAGCCGTTGGATCTCATAAAGCTAAGCTTGGAAGAGCGGATTTACGTAAAGATGAGGAACGAGAGAGAGCTCCGAGGAAAATTGCATGTAAGAAATTTAATTTTCTAGGTTGCCGTTGAAAATCAAATGAGAATATCATTAAAAATAATTGTTTATAACTTTAGGCTTTTGATCAGCATTTGAATATGGTACTGGGTGATGTGGAAGAGATCATAAACATAGTGGAGATTGATGAGGAAACATATGAAGAGATCTATCGTCAAAAGAAGAGAACCATTCAGATGCTGTTTGTACGTGGCGATGGTGTCATCCTAGTATCTCCACCTACATAAAGTTACAATATCTCATGTGGGAAGTTACGGATGTTTTTTATATAATTTACAATGGGATATTATTTCATTGACGTTTGAAAGATTTACAATATAGGAACTGGGCGCCTGAAAAATTGAGAAAGGTTTTGTGGCTACAGTGAATATTTGACATACTATACTATACTACATATGTTATAATATGTTATAATACTTTATGTAAAACTATATAAATCGACTAGATGATAATAAAAAAATGTATTCTTTTATACATGATACATGGTATAAAAAAAATGAACAAGCTATACTGCGTTACACAAAAACTGATATACAATTAAAGAGCTACTCGTTTTTCGATAAGATTTATTATGCCAGCTTGGTGGAAAACTTTGAAATTCCACTGCCGATAATGTGAGGACGCGTGGTAGTGATGTCTCGCTCGATAGACGACCTTATAATTTGCGCCGTCAGATCATCAATTCGTTGATCCTTTAGTTTCATTATATTTTCCAAATGTGAGATTCTCTGTTGCAGCACGGAGATCATATCCTTTTTCTCCTGCAGCTCCTGCTTCAGGCGAGTGAAGATGTGCCTGGGAACGGTCTTGTTCGCTACCTCCTCAGGATTTAGCACAGATTTTACTTCTATTATATGTAAAAGGAAAGAGTTAATTTATGAAAAGTTGGAAAATGATTTGTTATGCAGAGTAATTACCTTTATTATCCTCTTGACCGTATAGAGATTCCTTGTCGGCATTGGAGTCCTTCAGGATCTTGGCACGTAAATCAGAAAGGACTTTCTCGATAACGCCCGGCTGAGAACTCGCCAGCTGATTAATCGTCTCTTTCCCCAGTCTCATGTCAATCTTCGACAGCACCTTGCGATTTAGCGTGCTCCAGTTGTCGGCCTTCTTCGCGATGCTATTGCCGGCGACATAATTGTGCACGTCTACGTGCTTAGGATAATAGCGCTTCAACAGCTCTGCCATCAACACTGGAGTTTGATCATAGCAATTAAATTTTCAGTGACATTACTTCAAGAGACAGAACGTTTCGAGAAGCTGTCGGTTTCAAGATCGGGAGAAAAATCAAGAAATAATCAAAATATTCATATGAGGATTGAGGATTGCACTTTCTCGTTACCTCCATCGGAAAAATCTCTAGCTATGTTTCTTTTGGGTCGAGAAAACTTGATTTGATCGATCCAGTCATAGATCTCGTCGAGATGATCACCGGTCTCTGACTTCGCGCTCATGTTCACTGCGACGCTTTTGGCGGTCCGCACACTAACGAGACTGTAAGCTCACATGGGGATAACGAAAGAATACGAGGGGAAGAAAAAGAAAGAAGGGGAGAGTGAGAGCGGTCCCTATTACGTATTAGAAATTTGTAAACGTGATCGACATTTTTTTTATTTTACACGCTCGATACGTTCATTCGGATCTAGCTTCAGATACGTTTGAATAAACAAGTTTTTGCATTCAACATTGAAAACAAGAGCGAGTCTGGAAACAAGTACAGGACGAGATCTACTCACGATCGCCGAAGTATCGAAATTAAAAGTAAAAAGCCTCGAATTTGGAAAGAATTATGAAACTTTTAAAAAAGCTGAGCGCGAACGATCACGTTGCTCATGAATAATCATAGTCATTGTAGTTTTCTCTCAGTAATAAATTTCCTATAATCAATTATCATGACATTACTTAATTATCTCATCATATCAATTATAAAAGAGAGAGATGAAGCAGAGGATTGCATCATCGATTGAAAATCGCTTCACCCTCTGTTCTGCTCCACGCTGGCCGCCGTGTCAATGACTGAGGTCGAAAGTACGAAGCATCGGCCTCTCGCGTTCCGTGCGTCTCTTCCCTCTCACGCACGCACAGACACGCGTGCGTACGGCGGGCGTTTATAGAAGAGGCGTACGCTCCGCATCCCTCCGGAGTCGCTCCAAGAATTTCTCGGCTTTCTCATGCCGCTTACGTCAGTGGCACGCTGCTCCCGTGACGAGCCGGAGGAAGCGATCGGGTGGACACTAAAATAAGCTTACTCGAAAGGAAAAACTTTACGGCGATATAAAACTGAATAGGAAATACTAGAGGAATATTTGAGAAACGGCAATAAATTATCGTTTATGCGACACGATATTGCCTCAGATAGAGGCAATCCTTTGCATATTGAGAAGACCATCAAAGACAGACGTTCCCATTCGACACGATGGCTGTGGAAAGTAATAACGGTAAGTGACGCTTTTTCTGTCTGTTTCTAAAAGAATTTTAGAATTTTAGAAACTCGCAGGTGTAATTTTTAGAACTACCAAGATGAAGAATAAAGTAGATTGAAGATGTAATAAAAAAAACTAACTCAGAACAATAATATATAAATTGTTTTGTTTTTTGCTAAAATTTTTAATCATACTTCTTAAATATTTCTCTTTTTTTAAGTTAAAACATACGCGTATATACACAAGTTGCACTATTTATTTAATTTCCTCAAAAATAAAACGTAGCGCTATCATCTGAAGAACATCCTCCGTGACCTTGGCGCGTCCTCTACTCTAAATCAATTTTTGCAACTTATCCGATGCCTTATCTAATTTTCATGGTTGGAAATTGAGATTTTCAATCTATGACGTCATATCACGATAATGCAACACAATGCAAGTATCGACAGATGCTTACTCATACGTACGCGGAATATATTATATTCAACATATAATTCGAAATTTTATAATTACTTCTTCGAGACAAAGATTTTGCGGCATATGATTAAATACAAAATTTAAATAATACAAATTTGAAAATTGGAAAATGGAATCTTGCGTTTGTCATCGAAATTCAGAATTGCATCATGACATTGTATTCAAAGTAATGCCCGTATATCAACGTGCAAATGTGTTTTCGTTCTTAAAATAATTTCTTAAGTATACTTTCGAGCGCGTCAATTTCACTTGTCAAAATTCGGGAAAATTTTATGCAATTTTGTATTTCTTCAATTTTGCATTCCTCAAAGTCGACAAATCTTTACAAATACATAGAAAATATTTTTTATTTAAAAAAACTTGATTTTGAGGTCGTATAAAAATATTATGCTCGTACAAATGAAAATATATTAATTTATATACCGACAATCAATTGTTCAAATATCATATAGTTCCGTTATGACATTTCGGAAAAGAAAACATTCACGGCTTGTTACTTTAGGTAGGCGATAATGTGCAATTCGTCACGTGCAACTTGTTACGTACATTCTTTATAAAAGGATGAGATATGAAAATCTAAAATATGAAATTTAAGTAAAGTAAATACCCTGATAATCAACAGGTTGCCACGATCGAGAACTTGTTGTTGCGTGACAACCTGTTAAAACCTGATAAAAAATAAATTAAAACATCAATATCATTTAATTATTATCACAGAAAAAAATATAGCGCGAAATAAAACAAATGTTTAAATTCAAATTTAGCAAAATATCTCTAATAAAGGATTACCTTGAAAATAATTGCCTTCGGTCTTGCACTAGAAAAAGGTCAGCTGATTAGAATATTGTTTATTTCTAATTTCAGGAGCAAGTAGAACTTTCTTTTTATTTCGATACTTGATGGCCGTGATGGGATCGATCGGTCTTGCCATTCTTTATGGTTTTAAAGTCAATGTTAGCGTAGCCATCGTCGCTATGGTGAACCATACGGCCGTTAAATTAGATGTCAAATTATCCACATTGAAGAATTCAGAAAGCAACAATAGTATGCCAATAGGCATGGAAATTTGCCAATTCGATGACATTTCAAACGCCACGACAATTAAAACCGAGGTGTGATGTTTCACGATATTTTACGTGAGAAAAAGATTCACGCACATACCGAAGCTATATGAAGTATCGTTCTTGTAACACACAGCTTCAGCAATAAGATCTCGGCGTCTAAAAAGAAAAAAGGAAAGATTTAGCCAAATATATTACATTCTTTTAGGATGGTCCATTCGTATGGGACGAGCTTATTCAAGGTCTCATTTTATCTTCTTATTTCTGGGGCTACACGGTGTCCATGTTGCCAGGTGGAAGACTGGCGGAACTCTGGTCGGCTAAATGGTTGATGAATGGATCGATCCTGTTGAATCTCGTTGCCTCCATACTGACGCCCATCGCCGCGCGTATTCACTACTGGCTCTTCATAGTCATGAGATTTCTTCAGGGAATTGGCGGCGTGGGTAACGATTTGTTATTTTAACAGACGACGACATTCCGAACAAGTTACATTTGTAATTTCAAACGCTTGAATTACAGGGCGTATCGTTCCCCGCTATGCACGTGATGATTGCCAAGTGGGCGCCGTTGAATGAAAGAAATGTCATCGCCTCGATCGTCTACGCAGGTAAGAAGGGAAGACGTCGCTATCGCGAAGTTTCAACAGTATATCCTGGAATCTTCGCGATTCTATAATCATCTCGTCTATAATTACAAGGGGAAAATGGTAATAATATCGAGCTTTGTTCTCGATTAGATTCTAATAAAAACCATAACGTAAATATAATATATGAAATTTTTCGAACAAATCATAAATTTTGAAAACTATCTGAAAAAGATTAAGTCAAGGAACTTGCATTCTAGGCACAGCTCTCGGCACTGTAGTTTCTATCTTATTAACCGGTTTGTTGGCAACAAACTTCGGTTGGGAGTCTATCTTCTATGTTGAAGGCGCGCTTTGTCTGATTTGGTGCGTTTTTTGGTGGCTGATAATAGCGGATTCCCCGGAAAAACAGACGAGATTCATTACTCAAGAAGAAAAGAACTATATCGTCACGTCTTTAGGAAGACACAAGAAGAATATTCCCAAAGTGGTACGTCGAGAATTGGGCTCTGCGCAATGAAGGAAATATTAGGAATAAGAATAAATATTAAATTTTATATAAAAAAAAAAAAA